TAAGATACATTTTTTTTTATCTTATTTGCTTTTTTTAATCAGTTAGTTTCAAACAAGGAAATACAACCACTAATACGCAAGGGCTTATTAAAGCTGAGAGGATATGAGAAAATACCTATAAACGAAAGAGAACAATAAATAAGAAAAATTAAGTAGACAGAATATAACGAAAGACACTGCATTTACATTATTTAAGATCAAAATAAACTGGAAAGCAATAATTCGGAATAGAAGTCTACAAATAAGAATTGCGAGAGAAGAAACTGATAGCATAGTGCTTATGCTTATCTCTAGCAATTTCAACCGTAAAATGATAAGAAGTCAAATCAGTACTACGCTGAAATTAACAAGGTCAAGGTCCCATAGAAAAAAAGTAATATATAGTTTAAGTAATACAAATATGATAGAGAGACTAAAGGAGGATAGAAGAAGTCTGATCATCAGTCTACCTTATTTTAAATATCTAGTTACGATTAATGACCCAAATATATCACAGTAATCCTTACACCAAACGAACACATTCTTACTTAGCATTTTTATTCATTCACCATAATACCTCAAAGTCTCGATGTACTCCTAACTAGATCCCAAGTGCACACTTTCTCTGACCGGGTGGGGGTGTTAAAATTAACACCATTTAAAAATGAAACCCTGTGAAAATTTACAATCAATGCAATTGATATACAAGAAACTAAACAAAATGGAGTTAGCAATAATAAAAAAAGACAATCCGTAAATGCATTAGAAAAAACAGGAAACGGGAAGAAATTAATGTAGGACTAGGTAATTAAGAACAATCATTCGACTAAACAATCACTTAAACACACACTCACCAAGACACAAAATCGAATATGAAATAGACATTGGGAAAAACGAAAAGTGCCCCGCATCTACCAGAGAACTGACATCTTTGTTACCTAACGAGAGAATGGTGGAGGATTGAACGCGTATCATGAAAATAGTTATAGATAATGCATAGGAATGCTACGATAGAGCGTTTGGAAAGTGACAGAAGACCAGATGGCAGGTCAGGAACAATAACATTACAAATTCTTCTTTGTATTTTATTAAGAATCTCGAAATGCATAACATATATCAAATCGTATGTGGCAACAATATTTAAAGCATGGATAAATGATAGACGTCTAAATATTTAACATAGATCCTGAATAGTATAAACTGACACAAAGAACCAACTATCCTAACGCCAGGCTTAAAAAATGATTGGTTTATACTATGTCCACCTCATAACAGCGTTAAACGTTAACACGAGAAGTCGCAATAAGTCAGTCCACTGGGGGTTATATATGCTGATGAAGGGCAAGAAGGGTTCTCTCAGACGAGTAAAAGAAAGCAGTTTTAGTTTGGAGGAGTTAAAATTAACTAGCCATTCTTGCGCTAGTTAACAACCGTGTTTAGAACATTTTGTATATCAATTGCCATGTTTACATCTGTCAGATTAACTATTAAGAAAGGACTAAATAGTTTTGTTGTCAGCATAGATATCAGCTGGAGTACAGATGACATCAGGAATATCGTTGATGAAAATTAGGAAAATGTAGGTTCAAGGATTGAGCCATAGAGGACACCTGCATTAACGCAAACAGATCTAGAAGAGAGGCCGTTCAAGAGAATATCTATTTTGTGATTTGATAAGAAATGATGAGCCATTTCAAAAATTCGTCGAGAAATAACATGACCTTTTAACTTCTGAAGAAGATCAGCACACCAGAGTTTGTCAAATGCGTTCGAGATACCCAAAGAAACAGCCAAAGATTCCACATTCTTACATAAAGCATAGTAGACTATTTAAACAATAAAAGTTACTACATCAGCAGTTGACACATACTAAACTGCTTAGAATATTATTGCCTGATATGAAAAATGTTTTATATATATATATATATATATATATATATATATATATATATATTGATCCTTATTTTTTAATACAATCTAAGATTTCGGCTTACATTAGCCATTATGAAGTGATAATCAGTGATGGCAGTCTATGAATGTTTACATAGATGATCTCTAAGCAACGATAAACACGTGCATATAAGACGCTAGAAGCGAAAATCGCGCAGCATCTCATGACGTCACACATGACCACGTGAGAGTGAATTGAGAAGCATATTATTTAATGAAACGTGTATGAATGAAAAGATGCTGCCTAAATACACATATATATATATATATATATATATATATATATATATATATATATATATATATATATATATATATCTATTAGAATGCCAAAGAGTCATTCAAGTTAGAGGGTTACTAAATGTGATTCAATCGTATCAAAGCACCAGGCGGGAATAGGAAGTGCTGATTATAAGGATATTGGCAAATGTAATATGAAGAGAATGAGTTTGATTCGACGTTGTGGGTTTATCCTGGTGGGTCTTATCCTGGTGGATCTTATCTCGTTGAGTTATTCTAGTAAAGACTTAAAGGTTTGGAACTACATAGTGAAGTTTCTTGTATTTCCTACTAACCAAATTAATTTAAACTCCGACAGCGGGATTAAAAAATAGTTTCCTTTCTGAATATTTGGGAGGATAAATAATCTTTATTTATTATCATTTATTATATTTTATTTTTTATATTTATTATTTATTTTTATATTTTCAAACAATTGTCCTAGTTTTTGTTGTTGTTATCAAAATGTTTCCACCGTTGATGACACATGGCACAGTGTTGGTTAGATCAAGTGACAAGACAGAAAGAATGTGAGTTCAATACCCGGTTAAGGCAGTGGACAACTTTCAGAGGGAAATTAACAGGAGATAACTTATAACTGACATCCATTAAACATGGCACGTGGAACTAGAACAGTCTACCCCAGTGAGCGAAATAAAGGTTTCAGTTCGACATTCCAACCACCTGAAAAAGGCCGGAGCGTAAAACGGCCCAAACCTTGTAACAAATATTGCGACAGAGATGAGGACAATAGGCCGAATAATGTAAATAGTGTACATAATAACTCATCTCAGAAATAGAGACAATCCCATAAATTAGTACAGACAAGCAAATTGTATTTAAGTGTAAAGATGAAATGTTTTTAATGAAATATATCTGGTCAGAGAGTTGCATGCGTGCCGAGGATAATTACGAAGGAAAGTAGCCGTTTTGTCCCTGTAACGTATTCCAAGTTTTATTCGTACAAAAATAAAAATGTGGGATTAATAATTTCATTTTTTTTTCGAAAGACACTTGTATATATGATTATGTATGATTGTATATATATATGTGAAATATGTGTCTATGTGCGTTGAGTTTAAATATGAAATCTGCAAAATGTGTCATAGAAGATGACTTTTGACATTCCAGCGTATTTTTCACGGGGTCCAATCAATCTACAATATATAGTAAACGACAGTGCAAACAAATGATTGATATTGCCGTGATCTATAAGAGGCGAGGGAGAACTTTTATATTCTGGGAAGTATATGTAAATTACACACCAGTTTTTATATAAATATTAAAAAACGAATGAAACGCATATTGAGATATTTTATAAAATTATTTCATCGATTTCTTCTGCTAATCTAATGTTGAACAGCTTTGTTTTGAAATGCATGTATGAATGCATTAAGAACAATTTATTCCCTCAGGCTTAGTGAATATAATATGATTTTTAATTTCTTTTAAACTGATGATATATATATATATATATATATATATATATATATATATATATATATATATATATATATATATATATATATATATATATATATATATATATTATATATATATATATATATATATATATATATATATATATATATATTGGTTTTATTGATTTTTTTTTTTCTGGTTAGGGAAAAACTTGTGTTCTGTCCATGAAAAAATTTAAAGAAAATAATTTGGTCGGATTTTGGAAATTTGGTCGGAAGAAAAACCGTTTCAGCATACCCTCGTATATATATTATTTTCTAGTATTTAATTAAGTTTCCCTCTTAATTGCTGAAGGCATACAATTCTACACATCGATCTCCTATTTTGGATTTTATTCAGATTATTTTACGTTTTTCATTTATATTCAAAGGTATTTTTGTCTTTCTTTATATCTTTCATTCTTTCTTTGTATATTTATCTCTAGGATTATTTCTTTGTGTATTTTTTTCTTTCATTTTTCAGTCAATGTATTTATGTATCTCTTTTTTTGCCAGTTTTTTTTACTTTTTAAACATTTATTGTCTTTACTTATATATGCAAGGGTATATGTAATTATATTGTTTTTCATCTATTCTTTCATTATATATTCATTTATGATTTTGTTTATATAATTATTCATGCATATCTTTCTCTACTTATTTGCTTATTTATATATATATATATTTTTTTTAATTTCCTAAATTCTTTCATTGTCTTTATATTGTCTTTCATTCCTCTGAATTTACCAGTTGTAATTATGTATGCTTTCTTACTTTGTGTGTGCGTATATATATATATATATATATATATATATATATATGTTTTTCTTTAATTATTTCTTTCTTTTTATATTTATTTATGTATATGTTTCATGTTCATTATTTTTTATTTTGTTGTATATTTATTTAAATATATAGTTTTATTTTTCCTTCTTTGTTTACTCCTTTGTATATTTATTTATATCTATTTTCTTTGTCTTTTGTTTCCTTCTATGTATATATATATGTTTATATATTTTTTAAATTTTTCCTTGCTTCTTCCCTTTTTATAGAAATATTTATGTATATAAAATATTTATATTTATATATTTTTATGTATTTTCTTTGTATATTTATTTATGTATAATTTTTCTTTTTTCTTTTCTTTCCTATTTTGTATATTTATTTATCTATATTTTTATTTTTTCTTTCTTTCTTTCCTTCTTTTTAAATTTAATTATGCATATTACGCATTTATTATTTAATTATGCACAGTTTTCATTCTTCCTTTCCTTCTTTGTATATTTATTTATACATATATTTCTTTGTTCATCATTTTTTTCTTTTTTGTAGGTTTATTTTCATAGTGTATCTTTCCTTCTTTCTTTCTTTCATTCTACATTTACTTTTGTATATTTTCTTGTTCATTCTTTCCTTTGTAGAATTATTATGAATATTTTTTTCTTTTTTCTTTTATTCTTCGTAGCTTTATTTAACTATATTTTTTCTTTTTTCCTTTATCATTCTTTTTTCTATATTTATTTATGGCTATTTTTCATTTTTCTACTTTCTTTCCGTTTTTGTATATTTATTTATATATAAATTTTCATTATCCTTCTTTCTTTTCTTTTTTTTATATATATATATATATATATATATATATATATATATATATATATGTTTATATGTCTTTAGTTTTTTCTTCGTTCTTTCCTTTTTTGCACATTTATTTAGGTATATTTTTTATTCTTTTATTTCCTTCTTTTTATAACTATTTAACTATATTTTCTTTTTTCTTCTCTCTCCTCTGCTTTTTATGTTCATTCATGTATATTTTTTATGTTTTCATTCTTTCTATATTTATGTATGTCCATTTTACATTTTACCTTCTTAACTTCCTTCATAGTATATTAATCTGTGCATATTTTTTCTTTTTCCTTCTTTCTTCCCTTCTTTGTAAATTTATATATATTTTTCCTTTTAATCTTTCTTTTCTTCTTTGTATATTTATTTATATATTTTTTCTTTTTTATTCGGTCTTTCCTTCTTTGTATATTTGTTTATGTCTAGTGTTTTTTTTCTTTCTTTCTTTTCTTCTTTCTATATTTATATATATATATATATTCTCTTTTTCTTCTTCTTTCCTTCTTTGTATATTTATTCATGTGTATATTTGTTCTTTCAGTCTTTCTTTTATATTTGTTTAGGTATCGTTTGTCTTTTTTTCATTCCTTCTTTGTGTAATTATTTATGTATATTTTCCTGTTATTTTTCCCTTCCTTTCTAGTTTAATAATTTAGGTATATTTTTCCTTTTACCTTCTTTCTTTCATTCTTTGAATATTAATTTATATATATTTTCTTTTTTCTTCTTCTTTCCTTTTTTGTATATTTATTTTTGTATATTTTTCTTTCTTTCATTCTTTTTATTTTATTTATGTTATTTATGTATATTTTTGTTTTCCTTTTATCTTTCCTTCTTTGCTTCTTCTTTTCCTTCTTTTTTATATTTATATATTTTTTTTCTTTTTCCGTCTTTTTTTTCCCTTCTTTGTAAATATATATATATATATATATATATATATATATATATATATGTGTGTGTGTGTGTGTGCCTGTGTATATATATATATATATATATATGTGTGTGTATATATATATATATATATATCTGTGTATATATATATACATATATATATATGTGTGTGTATATATACATATATATATATGTGTATATATATACATATATATATATATATATATATATATATATATATATAGATAGATAGATAGATAATAAATATATATATATATATATATATATATATATTCTTTTTTCTTTCTTTCCTTCTTTGTATATATATTTTTTCTTTTTTCTTCTTTCTTTCCTTCTTTGTATATATATTTACATTTAGATTTTCCATTCTTTCTTTCCGTCTATATACATATAATTCTATATATTATTATATATATTTATATGTTATATATATTTCCGTTCTTCCTTCTTTATTTCTTCTTCATATATTTATTTATATATATTTTATTGTTCCCTTCTTTACCTCCTTTTCTTCTTAGTCTATTTATATCTGTATATTTTGCTTTTTCCTACTTTCTGTTCTCCTTTGTGTAATTATGTATGTATATTTGTATTTTCCTTTTCTTTCATTCTTTTTATATATATTTATGTATATTTTCCTTCTACTTTTCTCTTTGTATATTTATTAATATATATTTCCCGTCTTTTCCATCTTTGTTTCCGTCTTCGTATGTTTATTTTTCGACTCTTTCTTCAATTCTTTATACATTTATATATGTATATTTTTCCTTTTCCTTCTTTCTTTCCTTTGTAGATTTATTATGTATATTTTTCTTTTTCCTTTTTCCATTCTTTCTTTGAGTCGTTATTCATGCATATTTTTCGTTTTTCTTTCTTTCATTCATTTTTGTATAGTTATTTATATTTTTTCTTTTTCTTCTTTCTTTATATCTTTTATATTTATTCATATATATTTTTATTTCCTTCCTTTCTTTCTTTCTTTGCATATTTACTTATATATATATATTCTTCTTTCTTTACGTTTTTCTATATTTATTTATGCATATTTTTTACACCATTCTTTCCTTCTTTGTCTATTTATATATGTTTATTTTTTTCTTTCCCTTATTTCCTTCCTTTTTTTTACATTTATTTATGTTTTTTTCTCTTTCTTTCTATCGTTGTACATATATTTACGTACATTTTCATTTGTTTCCTTTTTTACTTCTTTTGTAAATTTTATATATATATATATATATATATATATATATATATATATATATATATATATTGTTTTGTTTTCCTTTTCTTCTTTCCATGTTTATTTTCATATATATGTGCTTTTTTCTTCTTTTTTCCTGCGTTCTCTCTCTCTCTCTCTCTCTCTCTCTATATATATATATATATATATATATATATATATATATATATATATATATATTATATTTGCATATATTATATTTTTTCCTTCTTCATGTCCTTTTGTACATTTATTAATGTATATTCTTCATTTCCTTCTTTTATTTACTTTCTAGATATTATATATATATATATATATATATATATATATTTTTTTTTTATTTTCTTCTTTGTATATTTAATTTTCCTTCTTTCTTCCTTTCTTTGTATGTTTATTTATATTTTTTTCCTTTTTCGTCTTACTTTCCTTCTTTGTATATTTATTTCGGTATATATTTCTTTTTCTTAGTTCTTTCCTTCTTTGTGTATTTTATATATATATATATATATATATATATATATATATATATATATATATATTTTCTTTCGTTTCTTTACGTCATTCTTTGTCTATTTATTTATGTCAATTTTTCTTTTTTCCTTCTTTCGTTCTTGGTATATTTATTAATAAATAATTTCCTTTTTCTTTCTTTTTCTTTCTTTGTAGATTTACTATGTATATTTTTCATTTCTTTCTTTCCTTTTTTGTTTTATTATGTATTTTTCCTTCTTTTATTCCTTTCTTTTATATTTATTTATATATTTTTCTTTTTCTTTCTTTCTTTCCATCATTTTATATTTATTTGCGTATATTTTTCTTTTGCTTCTTTTATTTCTTTTTGTATATATAATGCATATTTTTTGTTTTTTCTCCTTTTTTTTTCCTTTTTGTATATTTGTTTATATTTATTTCCCTCTCACCTTCTTTGTTTTCTTTTTGTATATTTATTTTTTTTCATTTCTCTCTTCCCTTCTTTCTTTGCTTTTTGTATATATGTTTTTCTCTTACATACCTTCTTTCCTTTTTGTATATTTATTTATATTCATTTTCCGCTTACCTTGCTTTTTGTATATTTATTTTCCTTTTAACTTCTTTCTTCTTTTTTTGTATATTTATTTATGTACATTTTTTCTATTTCTTTCTTTCTTTCTTTACTTATATGTACAATAATTTATGCATATTTTTCTTTTTCTTCCTTTTACTTTCTATCTTTATATATTTATATATGACTTATTTTCATCCTTTCTTTGTATATTCTTCATGAATATAATTTATTTCTATATTATTCATCCGTATCTCAAACGTTTTCATTTAATCACTGCGTTTATAATTTTCCTTTGTTTCTTTTTTCTCCTGTTTTAGTCATTTCTCTTTCTATTTACATTCTTCAATTTTATCATTGTTTTATTTTATTTTTTAAGCTTTACTTCCTTCACGATTCTATTAACTTTTATTCTATATCGTTTATTTATCTTTTTTTCTCTTCTAGAATATTCTGGATTTCATTTTATTTAATTTCTTCTGCTCTACTATTATTTTGGTTGGCTTTCATCTTTAATTTTTCTTTTGCGTTCCTTCTGTTCTCTTTTCAACCATTCATATCAGTTTTCATATTTTCTTTCATGCTTTCTTTTTTATTTGGTTCTTCTCACTGCGTTTTTCTTGCACTCGTTTCTAAATTTTTTGCTTTACTTTCTTTCTATCAAATTCATACATTATTATAGATAATTGAATATCCCATACAAGGGTTTTATTAGTGTACATTTACTGAGCTGAAGTTATATTCCATTTCAATATAATATTGACTATTTCATATCATCTTGATATTTATACATTGTAAATAAAAAGATTTTTCTTTCGGATGTTTCCACGCTATAATATAAAATTATGTGTGCTTTAAACACGTTTTACTTTCGTGAATTCCAGAAATGTTGCATTATGATTAAAATGCTGCGGTACTTGAAGTAATATAAAATTTACATGGTGGGTAGATGTTAATGCATTTATGTTTTCTTTGATGCTACAAGATGCGTTAGGTAGCATGTCAAATTCTTTACATGATTAATACAGATAAAATACCAATAACGACCATAATTTGTTATTGCAGATATTCTAGGTGATAACTCCATATTTTCAGCTACTTTGATATAGATTAACAACTAAACGATTATTCGAAGCAAGTTTCAAAAATTTCACATCACAAAACTTTAAGGAAATAACATGCATGCAAATGTCAACAACAAAATAATTCAAATTTATGAGCACAAAATGCATTTATAATTGTGTCTAGAATTTTCTTTATCCACTAACAATGTAATTCAATATACATAGTGGAGAAAAATAATTTTTAACCTGTGTATAATCTGAAGTTAATACTTAGAAATAAATAAAAATAAATATATATATATATATATATATATATATATATATATATATATATATATATATATATATATATATATATATATATTAAGATAAACACAAGGCCAAAATACCTGATTTTGTTTTGGCGTTTCTTCACTGAAAAGAAAAAAAATGAATGAAAAAGCAGACAAAAACTTTTTATCGATATGATCTCCTTCAAAAATAAAACACAAAAATATAAAATTCACGGATTAAAAAATGTTTATTTTTGAAACAAATTAAGGATTACATGCATATTGTTGCATATGCCAATATTAAGGTAACAAAACAACATATTAAACAAACGGTTTACTTACATAATAATTTGTCTGTGTAAAGTATGGTTTTATTTTCTCTAAACAGACAATTCAAACAATTTTTTCTTTGACCTTTCATTACTGAAAAATCTTGTTACAAAACGTTCCTATATATTGGAAGATGGATGGCTTTGAATATTTCTATCTTTTTTTTCTTCTTGTAAAATCTTTTATCTTCTTATTAATGCTGCAAAGTAAAAACATAAACACTACGCCTAACAAAGGCTTATAATGTTCTAATTATGATAAATATCTGCTTTGAATACTTAAAATCCCACCTTAAATTAAGAATGATCATAAGGCAAAACCTTTCGCATTGAATGACTGGTATATTAAAACGTTGACTCTGCGAGCCAACAATACTAATCATAGGTAACAATTCCTCTTCTTAGGAATAAATCCACCTTATCCAGTAGTGTAATCTCTTTTTTAGACTAACTTGGAATAAAACTCTTATAGCCCGTAAATGCACTATTAGCTTTCTTTAACAAATAGTTACATTTCTGTCTATTGGCTTATAAGACAAAACATATCGTTTCACGAGTTACATCAAACAAATTTATATTCGGGACTCTTCCGAAACTAATAAAAAATCTTTTTACCAAAGCGACTCGACACGAAAATATCTACAATACCATTTTCCCATTCTCAAATAAATTAGATCAACTGTAATTATGAATTTATGTATCTAAAATTAAATTCCATCTTAGAAAATGATTATATAATTAATTCGACATTGTAAGACGAAGATTCTTTCAAGATAACAGCTATTTTACGTGGTAACCTAAAACATTTTACCAGGGAGTCAGTAAATAAAACGTTTCTCTCGTGCATGAATAATTTTCTGATTGGGCATAATTTCATCTAATTAAAAGGAAACGCATACCCCAGCTTCCAAATTCACAAAAAGATCGGAAACTCCCCCAAAAAACTATCGTCTGCTTTGACTTCAGACGCGCATCATTTAAAATATCAGCACATTTATATTTCTTACACTTACATTTCACTACAGAAACTTTGGAAAAAAATGTCCTCAAACTCATATTTATTTCAACTTAATAATTTTCTCCAAATAGAATTCGCAAACAAAAAAAACAAAACACAATGTTATAATTATTTTTATTCTTTTTAATGTTAATCACTCAATGCAAAATCTAAGCGCCACTGAAAGCAGAGGTTTAATGGATGAGATTTTGGAAAATTTTCAAATTAGAATGATCGGAGAATCACTTTAAAAAAAGTAGCGGTTTTTGTCCGAAATAAGTTCTTAGGAATGTTTCGAAGGAAATGAAAATATTTTCGACGTGCCATGGCGGTTCTAATAGGAAAAGTTCTGATCTGTTGAACATAAGAAACCTAGCTATTTAGACCAGTTTCTGTGAAGATAGCGATGGATTAGCGCGAGGCTTGTGACAATTTATCTGTTGGAAATTGATTTTAGGATGGAAAATAATTAATGATCCACAAGACCACAAAGAAGAATTTGAACTCCTCCCATGCTCAAAATTGAGTATTGAGCAGGTACAATCAAAATATGACATCGATATTCCATTTTATTTCTGACGTCAGAGTTTTAAAGACAAAACATGTCTTTAGAACTTTCCAGTTGTTTAGCGATGGATCAAGTATAAGAGTTCCACTTGAGGTCTTGAGATAACTTGAGTCCCGATAGATTTTCAAAAGTAGTGGCCTCATTAATTATACAACCATTCATCATGACATGTGAAAATTCAAGTTTTGTTCAAGTATAAAATATAACAAGCTTTGTATTGGAGTTATTAAATGTTACACAGTTTTACCACCAGAGTGTTTTTTGGGTTCGGCCTGAAGAGAATCAGATGGCAGGTTCTAATCATCTGGATTTTTAGGAGTTGCAATCATAAAACGATATTTCAAATGTATAGATATTTACTAATGATATGACAATGTTCGTAAATATAAAACAGAACCATGGTAGGATCAAAGAGAAAACACTGTATTACGCCTTCATTGATCTCATGCACTTCAGAAGACTAGCAAATTAACAATGTTTTATTGAATTTTAAGGAAATTAGATTGCCTATCAATTCGTTACTGAAATGATGCCGGGTGAATTCTAGGATATTGACCATTTTATTATTGATCTAACACGAAATCTGCATCGCTATTACATTATCCTACGAACTAGAGAACTAAAGTACCAGCAAAAAAGTACAGTACCAATAACAAAGTACAGTACAAATATGATATCAATATGAGAGATTTAAATGTTAACAACTTTTCGAAACGTTACAAACGAATTATTTTTGTACAAAAAATATTGCTTTTAATCTTCTTGGTGAAAAATTCGCAACTCCAAAGGATGGTTTTCTAAAAACTTCATGTATGATTAACAATTTGTCTAGACAAAACGAAGAGGCAGAGGAAAAAAGAAAGAAAAGACAAAAATGTATTTAAAAAGTAGGAAAGAAATGAATTTTTTTAAATATAAGGTTTGAAAAAAAATTATAGGGAAGAGAGAAATAGAGAGAGGGGGAAGAAATGGGAGGGGGAGAGAAAGAGGAGTGAGAGAGGGAGGTAAAGAAAGGAAAGAGGAATTAAACATGCACCGATAGGGTGACATAGAAATGATTTTCTATTTAAGGGCTGAACAAGATAATATCCAAGGTAAGAGATAGGTTGATCAGACTTAAAATAGATACAGAAATGTGTCTAATATTCACGTCATTTTCGACAGCAAAGGAATTATCCTGGCATTATAATCATCGCAATTTCAAATTAATAATAATAATAATAATAATAATTGACATTAATATAAAGGTTTTATTTCTTTCCTATTTTTTTCCTCTCCCTAATCCTTTTGTCTGGTCAATTTGATCCCATTGATTAAAAATAAAGTCGGTCCGAAGAGATGAATATTTGGATATCCAGGAAATAAATTATAACCGAATGGATGTTTAAGGATCGAATGTATTATTATGACTTATGACATTGCTCTGTTTCTTTGAGATCTCTTTGTTGTATCAATGTCTTCCTTGGAGGTACCTACCGATTATGAACTGATAATTTATATATATATATATATATATATATATATATATATATGTATATATGTGTGTGTGTGTGTGTGTGTGTGTGTGTGTGTGTTTATATATATATATATATATATATATATATATATATATATTTAAGTTACGAAGAACTTGGTAAACCGAATGGGTAATTCCAAGGAGGATGAAATCCTGAGAGCTCAATGTGAATACAGAGCTAATATTTAATGAAAAACAGACCACTTTAAGGTACCATTACAATAAATTATTTCACCAAAATCCCTTTTAAAGGACTCCGAATCATCAGGTAACAATTCCAACAACGAAATGAAAGGCTTTCATTTCGTTGTTGGAATTGTTAACGGGGACTCTAACAGGTGCTGCCACTCGGAGTCTGGGGTGAACCTAAGAACAACATCAATTGAAATGTGGTTCCACGCAGTTCATAGCCCCAGTCTCTCCATCAGAATCCTTGCTGCCAAATGTAGTTTATCGTCATAGCCAGGATGCACTTATACTTAGATAAAAAAAATGGACTTGAAATCGGAGAGAGGCAGTTGAAATTTTAGGATAAATTATGAGAAAATAAAATAATACTCACGGGGCATAATGATGGCACGGAGACTTAGAAGAATTGACTTACCATTCAAATATAAGAAGACAAAATTTTTTGATCGTCAATGAAAAAAAACAGCCCATGTGGCGAACTGTTAATTTTTTTTTTATTTCAGCATCAAGCATGTACAGAAATTCAAGTATCTGAGAAGCGGTTTAACGAACGAATATTAATGTGAAACCCAAATCCGAAGGCACATTAAAATAAGTAAGAAGAAACAGAAAGACTTCTTTAGAAACTAAGAAAAGAGGGGCGGAACTGCGATGTAAAGTTAATACATTTTTATAGCAGTAAATGTTCGAAAATATAATTACAGGTGACTGATGCAACAGAGATGTGATTTTGTAATAAGATGATATACAGAATAAGTGGACACCGACGAAGTTTTATTGAAAATAGACGCAAAAAAATGATTCATATATATAGAATCTGAAAGAGTGCGTTGAAAATACTGTGCGAAATTAAGAGATAGGACGACTTGGAGACATTGTAGTCAACACCATCTTCAATGTCAACGTTAGATTTACATACGCTCTATTACTGATATTGAGCATTTAACCGATAAATATAATATGACTTACACTACACGTATATATATATATATATATGGTGGAATCTCACGACGTATTAAGCTCAAACAGCTAAGTTCCTAGGAACCCACAGCCCAGACGCAGGGACTTATGATTGGATTGTAGTGGTGAAGGCTTTGTGCAACTAACCACACATTTTGAAGGGTCGAATACAGAGTCGTGGTGCAATACATGCCACAAGGACCCCAAGCTACGAATGAATACTGACCAAAACACTACTACGGTCTCCTCAGGTGGCTTGTTCAGCTGAAAAAACCGCCTGAGGAGGCCGTAGTATTCGAAAGCGCGGTAGATTTCTGGTCAGCATTCATTTTCTTTAAATAGTAAACAGCTCTGCAAGTCTGGTCTTCCAACCTGATATGGAGCACTTTTAATGTGTACGATCTTAACAAATCTTTTACTATTCGTTTACTCTGACATATATATATATATATATATATATATATATATAGATTTGATTAGATATATATTTATAAAAACATTTCAATTCTCGATTTCTGTCTGTATTTTGAACAATTGGTGATTGTAAAATAATGAAAATTTTCAATGTTAAATTAGATTTTACTATAGGGTTTTGTGACAGTGTTTATTTGAACATCAAAGCTTAGACAATGTACTTGGTAGGAAATACAAACCTACCTTTGCGACAAAACTAGCATTACGAACCTAGTATGATTTGTCTAATGATTGACTTCCGAGAATTATCGGAGTGTTTTTATAGTCTGCATATAAACAATTGCTTCGTCGTCTATCGTTTAATTTTGAATCGATTACAAGATAATTGTCTCCACTTTCTCGCCATTGGGTAAAAATTAGCCAGCTCTTGGTGTAAGCAATTACTGCTGCAATATAAGTTCTTCCGCATTCTGTAGGATGTATTATTCTAGATGTTGTTTTGTATATATATATATATATATATATATATATATATATATATATATATATATATATATATATATATATGGAGAGAGAGGTCATGTCTATTCTTCAGTCAAACAAGAAGACATTTTGTCACCTCAATAGTTTCCAATGATGGTCTGATTCTTTTGACTATTCCTGTTAATTCTGGTTCAGCTTGCGCTAAACACTATTACAACTTTCTGTACGATTTTATGGTTAATGACTTGTACACATAAGCATACGTAGTTAAGTTATTATTCTGTCCATGGGCAACTCGTATTTACGATCCATCGTTGCAGGTGCTGGAAACATGGTCGCTTTCATTAAGTACCCGACTCCTCCAAACCTGCGCTATCTTTCTAAGAACTAAATCGGATAAAAATGGAACAATGTTACTAAATATGGCCCGCATCAGTGCAGTCCATATTTTCTAGCTTTGATAGATTTCAAAAGCGATTTCCCATCTTTATGGATGATCAATTCATTACTACTCTCTAATTCAATTCTAAGTCGCTCGCTAATTTTTGTCTATATATATGGCAAATGTTCTGATAACCTATATTTCATAGTGGTTCAAGTTTTAAGCTTCACAGATATGACCCAAAATTATTCGTACACGGAGTCGAATCGTCCTAATTTATTGCGTATTTCATTGGTAAGAATTTATTACCTTTCCGCCAGCGACTTCCAAAGTAAAACTACTTTCTGAAACAGTGTCCCGAATTCATTTTCTTCCATCGCTACATAACCCACTGAATATAAATTTCGGCATGATAGAGTGGGCCAACATCTGCACTGGAAAATATGCAACGGTAATAGAAACGATAACAATTTTATGGGAATTTACACGCAGACAGTTTTATTGTGTTTATTTTTTTCTTAATTTAATTCCTTTCTGTATATCTATTTATATGTATTTTTTTTATTTTCCTTCTTTCTTTCCATCTTTCTATTTTTATTTATGTATATTTTTCTTTTGCTTCTTTTATTTCTTTTTGTATATTTAATTAGGTATATTTTTCTTTTTTCTTCTTTCTTTCCTTTTTTTGTATATTTATGTATATTTTTCTTTTACCTACTTTCTTTCCTTTTTTGTATATTTGTTTATATATATATAATTTTTCCTTCTTTCTTCCTTTCGGTGTATATTTATTTATGTATATTTTTCTTTTTTCTCCTTTTACTTTCCTTCTTTAAACAATTATCCGTGTCATACTTTTATCCTTTTTTGTATTTTTTTCAAGCTGACAGTTTTATTATGTATATATTATGTATTTCTTATTCTCAAATATAATCGATCAGTCCACAGAAATAGAATATGTTTTCTTATTGACTGGCCAGTCTCGACCAATTGTAATATTTCTTTGAAGATCTTCAAAACCCTATAAAAATACAAGCGTCATGAAATGGATTTCACAAAAATGTGGCACATGAAGACATCAATAATTCCAGCTGTAATTTGTCCGCTCGCACTGATTGGAAAAGGCTCTGATAGACTCACTGACGAGATACCTGTTAGGCTATGCGCTAAAGAAATACAAAAAAGAATATAGTTTCAATTACAGCTCAGACATTACGAAGAGTTTTACCGCTGTAGGTATCTTCACTTTTTCAGGGAGATACCGCATAACCTGATGAAAAACGGCCCCAAACTCAATAAAAAACATAATTTTATCATTAAAAGGATTATCTTATTATTAAGCGTAAAGACAAAGTTATTTCATTATTATTAATTGAATTTTGAATCCTTTCTAGCATGTTCTAAATTTTGGTTAACGTCTTGTTTAGTTTATGTCAGCAGCCGATGTAATAATAATGATTAGTTCTTTTTCCGGTGAAAAAGAGACAGTCTTGTAAATTCTTGCAAAAATCAAATAATTGTCAGATTTTAACAAAACCTTCGGAACATATTAAGAAATAAATTATTCTTTTTAAAATTTTGTTCTTTTTAGAATTTTAGTAATTTGTGACCATCCACTTAATTTTATGAATTTTTTGAAATTCAATTTTTAGTAGGGATATTTTTTTATTTGTTAAAGCAAGATCGCGTGGAAAATGTAAATTCTCATTTGTTTTTATTTTTGTTTTTGTAAAACCGTTACCCTATACATCAAAAAGCTGCTCTGAATTGCAAAATAGAAAATGCAATAAAACTATTAAATTATTTAATTAGAAAACTTATAATTGATTATACATATAAGATTTATTAAGGACACTATTGTCTTAGTATAATTCTTTTTTCAATGAATAATTATTTTTTTACAAGAATTGTATTCATATTTTTAAAAATTTGATTAAATAATTAATGATATTAAAAAAAATCGTTTAAAATTCTGCATTACTGCAAAGCGGGATTGAAGTGATATTTTTAAGGTAAAACTACATTTACGAATCAAAAATTGAAAAGCTCAGAGCAATCGTTTCTAGCCAATATTTTTTTAAAGATTTAGAAATAAAAAAACTTCTATCGTAGAAACCTTTACAGTTTTTAACTATGGTAAGCCATAAATGATATTATCCTTTAAAATATCACGTGATTTAAGCGTTCTCTGGCGATCTGCAATACTGTCACTTTCAATATTCAGTTCTGTTTCATCGTTAACGTCTTTGCAAATAATCCCTTCAAAATTTCAAATAAGTTTCATTTTTTAATTACTATTTAACTAAATATTTGTATTTTATGTATTTATTTTAGCTTGCGTCATACTTCAGTTAAGTAATTTTTTGTTCAAGTTAGTAAACGTAAGATAAGAACCTAGAAACGAAACCCAAATTTCATAAAGCATCTTGAAACATAAGTAAAAGTCATTAAAATATTAAATAATTGCTGAAAATATGTTAATGTGTAAAAGTTAATAGTTAGTGAAAAACACCAAAAAATGTGTTCGCTTAGATTTCGTAAATTTATTTCGATTCTGGTCATCCATACTTGGAAATTATCGATACATCAATAAAGATAAAAGAAAAACAGGACATGTCGTTAAGAACTGCTTGAATATTGCTTTTTTATTTTATGAGTAATTAATTTTTATTTCAAATCAGATTAAATTAACTATAGACTTTCTAATTTTGTTCAGATAACATGTCACAAATATATATGTTATTTTTGGAAGATTTCTAAATCGATAGTTTTGTTTTGGTCGAAGATTTTCTGAAATCGGCAAAAAAGTTGAGATTCCGATCTATATAATTTCTATGTGAAATACATCAGGATATTTTACTTACTGAAAATAGTAAATGTAATCACATAGCTTTCAAGTAAAGCTAAAATGGAGTCTTCAAGAATGCTTTATCATTTTTAAAGATTCATTGTAAACTTCAAGTATCGAAAATCCATGGAAGTATCGATACTTGCCCGGGTGTGTTACAGTGTAAGAACCACAGATTATACAAATATTTGGGAAAACAATTAACCCTAGACATGATCCCGTGAAGCTCGTTGTGATTGGGGAAGAGTCCTCTTGGGAGTCAGTTACCAAAGCAGCGGTTCGTGTGACAACGCGGTTTGACTGATACGTACATCTTATCAATAAAATACAAAGGGGTGTTCGCTACAATGTGGGTCGTATGGAGGGGTCTTATCCGTAAAGGTTAAGAATTGTGGAATTAAGGAATTTAGTTCGTTTGAACACTTTCAGCAGAAACATAGATATAATTACGACGTTTTGTTGTGCGTAAGGTGTTGTAGGGTGGAAAATAATACATCACCCACAAAGATGCGGCGACTGATTGAAGAAATATTAGCAGAACGCTGTAAGCTGTTTTCGCTGTTATAAAATTATTAAAAATTAATTTTATTGAATTTCTATCGTTAATATTTTCTTTAAAAATATTATTCCTTCTTCCACGTTTAATTTGTATTCACAGCTACTTAAACATTTGGAGAATAAAAGGAAGAACAACATGAATTTTGCAGGTTCTCAGGTATCCCTAAAACTAACTTGCATTCATAATGAATGATTGATATCTATCTTCAAACAGCAGGAGTCATTCCATTATATACCTTCTAGGTTAGCTGTCTTTTTCATACAACTCTGTATGTGTTTTAGATCTTCCTTAGGATTCTAACCTCTATATTTCTGCTTGATAGCAATCGCTCTACGATAGCTAAGCGTAATCCAAATTAATTCTTCAGAATATATTCTTCGTAGTGATAATTCTGTTCCACGTGCGGCTATATGGTGATATTATCTCACTGTGTACGGGTTTGTGTTGTTGACGCCTTAGGAAAAAAAGTTTTGGTTATTTCCACTGGGAACAAAGATGACAAAAAAAAATCTAATATTAATGGACGTGCCAAGTGAAACAAATTAGAGGGACGACGTGTTGTTCACAAGTCCATCAAGATAACGGTTATTGATAAGCAACAGCGAATTGAAGTAAAGTTGTTGTCAAATCAAGATTAAAAAGAAACTGTAGAAAAATGAACATTCGTGGAAGAAAATGAACATTTGCGTAAAACAATACGAGAAGAGATGTGGTAAACATAGAACGCTTATTATGAAATGACCATATGATTATGACAGTTCAGAATTCATTATATTAAGGTTTCGGCAAAGATACGAAACATTTAAATTAATATAAGTGTGTGAAATAAGAAAACACGCAAAAAAATGAACAATCAACGCAAAAGCCACAGTAAATTTTGAGGATTATGAATATTCTAGAAAAGACAAGGAATTATTCCAGATTAAGTGGGTCAGCTTCGAAGAGGTAATAATAGATACACTGATGCTTTTTTTTAATAATATTTTCATCAATGGCTTTTTTATGGAATTATGTCTGATAAGCAAATGCTGTGGTTGAATTTATTTCTATGTAATTAAAATCACAATTTGATCTAAGAATGTAAAACTTATTAAAAGATAAAATAACTTAGACGGAATATTCCTGAGAGTGCGGAAATCCAATCGGATTTTTTCAGATATATTCATTCCTGAAAGAATTACCTATTTCTCACGTCATGGTGTAGAATTAAAATATATTAAAAAAATTAAAAGAATGAGATAAAATTCATACACTACTATTATTTAAAATATATTATACATAAATAAATTCTGAACTACAATAATATAAACATCAAGACATTATTAAAATATATATATATATATTTACTTACTTTTGTTTATTGGATATAAAATTATCATGTCATCCCATAAGTTCTGTCTAAATTTTGAATAAAGAAAACAAGTGACCAAATGTTACATTTAATTATAGATTCAATCAACAATGTATTTTCCCTGATTATCTATGACTTCCTTCCATCTACTAACAAGTTTACTAATTCCATTACTCTAAAATTATTTGGGCTTTGATACGAAGAACTTACAAATATCAGTTTTAACCTCTTCCTGTGTTACAAAAGCTGTTTCTTCCAAATGATTCTGCAAGCTACGAAACAAGTGGTAGTCTGAAGTAGAAAGATTGGGAGAATAAGGGGGATGAGGAATTTTCTCCCAACCAAGTTCTTCGATCTTTTGTGACGTGATACTTGCTGTGTAGGGGCGCGCATTGTCCTGATAAAATATCACCTCTTTTCGATTCACTAGAGCAGGTCTTTTTTCCCGTCAAAGCTTGGTTCAAAGGCTCTAATTGCTGACAGTATATTTGAGCATTAATTGTTGCATTAGGTGGTAAAAATTCAAAGTGGATTATTCCTTGGCGATCTCACCAGATTGAAAGAAGAAGCTTTTGCCCATGAAGTTTCCTTCTCGGCAGGGGTTCTTCACCTTTACCAAGCCACTGTCTACGAAGCTTAATATTTCGATAAAAGATCCATTACGTCACTAGTCACAAGTCTATCCAAAAAAGGTGAAACAAATTGGCGAGAATGGAGAGAAGAGCAGGTGTCAATACGGGATTTGAGGTTGTTTTCAGACAATTCATGAGGCAACCATTTTCCAAGTTGTTGAAGATGACGATGAACAGTTGTATGGTGTGAACTGAGAACCACTTCCAATTCATCAACTGATAAAGCAGGATTTTCTTCAAGGGCTGCTTCACGAAGCTTTTCATCAAACTCAACTGGACGTCCGGTTCGATCTTCATTTTCAAGGGTGAAATCTACACCTCTGAATTTTGCAAACTATCTTCTGCAAGTTGTTTCATTCACACATTCCTCTCCATAACCTGAGTGAATGTTTCTAGCCGCTTCGGCTGCTGAGTTTCCTTTCTTGAACGCATAAAGCATTATGTGC